TCGATTGCAATAGATGTTAGTATCATAACCATGACCGACGGCTAAACGTGACCTCCGAGGCACGGAGGGGTCTTGTCTTAAGAATGGTCATCCATCCTCATCCCACTGACCTGGCTAGGGTTGCTTAACTTTGCGATGTGGTAACCTACTCGGGTACCGTTCGGCCACGAGACCCCAGTTTCAAATTTTTATAATCAATGATATAAGTGTAATTACTGAAACCAGTTTGTGAGCGTTCGTGCGAGGCATATGCAGTGCCGTAATGATTACCAAATCAATCGTGATTACCAAGTTTTTATAATATTATTTGTTTTAATTATAAACTTGTCTTTGTTGCTACGCTTGTACATTTTGATTTGATTGTCAATAATAGCTTGGGCAGAACCTAACACCCACATCATCACATCGACAGCCTTTAACAGTCCACTGCTGGACATTAGCCTCTCCTTAGAAAGGAGGTTATGGCTTACTATACCACGCTGGCCAGACGGGTTGGTATAGGGTTAGTGTCAAGTTTTCCTTCTCTCTGCAGTGCTGTTTTCCTGTGTATTTCGCTCCCTTAGTGGCCTCTTACGACACCCACGGGATGAATAGGGGTGGTGGTAAGAAGGAAAACTTGACACAAACCCTGTCTCAACACGTCTGGCCAGCGTGGTATAGTAAGCCAAAACCTCCTTTCCAAAGAGAGGCCTATGTACAGCAGTTTACTGTTACCTTACCCTAGGCATCTCCCTATCGGTTTTTTTCAGCCCAATGTAGTCTTTCCCTTTGTTCTGATAACGAACTAAAATTAAAAAACTCTTTGCAATATTTACAACTGAGTGGGCTGGATCAGGGTTACGGCCGTTAAGCAGTTCTTGCGAAGAGTTCCTTGTCAGCCAGAGGGTTTCTGTCCCTGGGTTCGATCCTGACCGACCCAGGACAAAGAATTGTGTAATTTTCTTCTTTCTTTTCTTTTAAAAGAAAGACTACTCCCGCATTAGGAATAAATCCTGTGTCGCGGGGGACTTTACAAACATACATGAAACGGACACAAAGAACACCCAGACTCAGAACAACAATTTGTGGATCACACAAAGTGTCGTCCCATGTGGGGTTTGAACCCACAACACTCGGCGTAGTAGGAAGCGGCGTGGCGACCGCTTAAACCACTACGCCATCCGTGCAGTCTAATAAGTGCAGTAATTGTTTAAGATTTATCATAAAACATGGCACATTTTGGCTGACTTCGAAGATTCTCTCTACCAACTCTAGACATGGGTTCCTCTGTTAGAGACATGGACCTCTGTTAGAGACAGGGTACAAAATCACAGTCTTGAGGAAAAACATAGTCTACTTTTTACCTGGTTAACCGATATTTACGTAGACGGAGCCGCGGGCAAAACCTAGTATACGAATAATGGAAATATTACCAAAATTGGCAGAGCACGGGAGAGCCACAATTCTGCTAATATACCGCAGTGATACCACAGCCTCGGAACCTAGCCCTAGTCCCTAACAGATAACTGTTCAAAACACTATTTTAGTAATTAGTGTTATAATATACCAACCCGTCTGGCCAGCGTGGTATAGTAGGCCAAAACCTCCTTTCTAAGTGTGTGTTCTCCTTTTCTGTGATGATGATGTGATATAACCTATGTGCGTCTACTTCTCACGATTTGTACACCACCTAAAAGTTGAGAGAAGAGAATGCCTTGGGCATTAAGTCCGCCGATGTACAAAAAAACATAAAGTTATCATTAAAAATTAAAAATAGCATGTTTACCAATTCTGTGTTTTATAAATTTATTTTATGCTATACGTACAGATACAGATAACAGATCAAGATATACAAAGAGTGGCCTTAATAATAAACAGTCACAACTGTAAACAACTTTCAAAACAAACAATGTTTCCTTTTTTATGTGGTTTAAGGTTGGATTTGAATATAAATTAAAATAAAAAAGTTATACGTGATATATGGAGAAACAAAACAACCCAAGTAAAATTGATTTTTTTTTATGTTAGAGGGTCAGACGAGCAGACAGGTCACCTGATGCAAAGTGACCATCACCGCCAGTGGAACGACCTTCAACCCTTCAAGAAAAGAGCGTACTCCTTCCTCAAAGGCCGGCAACGCATTTGTGACTCCTGTGTTGCAGACGTTCATGGGCGGTGATGGTCACTTTCCATCAGGTGACCCATCTGCCCCTTGAACATAAAAAAAAATTACTTGAGTTCTTGTATTTCTCCATATTTCACTTATAACTTCTTTTTTTACAAATTTACATTTAAATTCAACCTTAAACTACAAAGGAAACATTGTTTGTTACACTTGCACTGAAGATCGCTGACCAGTGGTGTGTAACACACAACCCGACAGTGAACCCATCGTAAACAGAGATGATCATGTTCACAAACAAACGCACTCAAGGAAACCTCAGACTTCCCAAGCTCTTACCAAAGAGGTCAAATACCTAGGCGTAATACTGGACAGTAAACTCCTGTGGAATAAGCACCTCGATGAAAAACTGAACAAAGCCTGCATTATGACGCTTGTTGTTAGCAACATGAACACACATTTGTATTAACCATAAATTTATTAGTCTGTAAGCCTTCTTCAAAAAAAAAAAAAAATCTTCTGTCAGTGCCAGCGGCTACTCGGCAAAAGTTGGAGACTATCACCCAAGATTACGGAACAGTCATAAGACCAATAATCACTCTGGTGGCAGAGAACAGAGCTAAGCACCGTCATAAATAAATTGCAGCAATTCCAGCGTCTCCCATGCTCTGCAGTCACTGACTGCCGCGCCTGACTCAACTGCCGCACTGGAGGTGGCTCTGGGTCTGCCCCCGCTGGATTTATTCATACAGCAGGAGGCCGCCATGGCGATCATTTGACTCAGACACCTGGGTGGAAAAACTCATCCTGAAAAACTAACCGGAGGTGGAAAAACTCACCCGGCTGCAGACAGTTCAAAACACCACGACTCACCTACAGATTGATCAATCTTAGCAGACTGGAAATCCGAATAGTTGTCGGGACTATAACAGGGCCCTGAACCGACAACTATTCATCATCAAAACGACGGACAGCCCTCTGTGCAGGGGACGTCTGTAAGCAGAAGAAACGGCCGCCCACGTAATCCTGGAATGGCCACACAACGGGCAAGTATCATTCCCGATACAAAAGCGCTCCTAAAAGCCTGTGAACGCCCCAGGAGGCTTCTGCGCTTCTGGAAGGAGCTTGGTTGGCTCACCTAGCTGACCAGTCCTCGACGCATAAAAGACCACTCTTCAGTCTAAATGCGGCAACCGAAGCCTACAACCAATACCAACATTGTTTGTTTTGAAAGTGGTTCACAGTTGTAATTTTACTTCAGGTTGGCTCAATGTTTATTATTAAGCCTACTCTTTGTATATCTTGATCTGTTGTCTGTATCTGTACGTATAGAATAAAATAAATATGTAAAACACAGAATTGCCCTCCGCCCGGAGACGTGCGCGAGTGGCGCGAAGCCGCTCGCCGAGCCACCATGGTGAGATGGTCGTTCCGGCTGGAGACTCCACGCGCTGGCTTCGCCGCCGTGGAGGCTCTCCAGCCGGTCATCGTCGAGTGGGCGGGGCGGCAGCACGGGACCCTTTCCTTCCGGCTGACGCAGGTGCTTTCCGGGCACGGTTGCTTCGGAAAGTACCTGCACTCGGTCGCTACGAGGGAATCGAGTCCCGCCTGCCACCACTGCGACTGCGGTGAGGACTCGGCCCAGCACACGCTGGCGGTCTGCCCCGCATGGGCGACGCAGCGCCGGGCCCTTACTGCCGTCATCGGAGCGGATCTCTCGCTACCGGCCGTAGTTCGCTCCATGGCCGGTAGCGACAGCTGTTTTACCGCGGTCGCAACCTTCTGCGAGGAAGTAATCTCGCAGAAGGAGGCGGCGGAGAAGACCCGGGAGGAGCACCTCCACGCGGACCCGATCCGCCGCCGGCAAACCGGGCGGCGGAGGCGCGCTCATCTGCGCCTCACGCCGATGCACCTACCGACTATTACTTTTTCCAAAACTTTTTAGTGGGTAAAAATTTCAATTCCCGAGAGGCAGTACAAAATGCCTTCGAATAACAGAAATAAAAAAGTTTAAAAAAATAAGTACTTTCACTTATTGCATACAAAACGGCAATTTCATAGGTAAAGACCTATTATGAGCAGAAGTGTGGCTCTCTCGTGCTCTCCCAAGCTTGGTTATATTTCACTAGCTGACCCGCGCAACTTCGTCTGCGTCTCTCAATAGTAATAAATTTTCTCCGTTTTTGAAACATTCATTGGTGCTCCGCTCCTATTGGTCTTAGCGTGATGATATATAGCCTATAGCCTTCCTCGATAAATGGGCTATCTAACACTGAAAGAATTTTTCAAATCGGACCAGTAGTTCCTGAGATTAGCGCGTTCAAACAAACAAACAAACAAACAAACTCTTCAGCTTTATAATATTAGTATAGATATAGATTATTCGTATACTAGGTTTTGCCCACGGCTCCGACTGCATAAATGTGGGTTATCGCGGTAAAAAGTATGCTTTTCCTCAAGAATCAAAGTATCCTTATTCCAAATTGCATCTAAATCGGTTCAACGGTTACTGATGCCCCATACAAACTTCCACCCCCTTTTCACCCCCTTACAGGATATTTCCTGGGGTAAAAACTATCCTATGTCCTTTCCCGGGATTCGGACGATCTCTGTACCAAATTTCATGTAAATCGGTTCAGCGGTTTTAGCGTGAAGAGGGGCAGACAGACAGACACGCTTTCGCATTTATAGTATTAGTATGGATAGTATCATCATCATCATCATCAACAGCCTTTAACAGTCCACTGCTGGACATAGGCCTCTCCTTAGAAAGGAGGTTTAATTTCCTTAGAATGGATAGTATGGATATAGAAAAAAAAACACATATTATAATAATCATCTATTATATTTTAAACAATAATAAACATACATTTAAATTCTAATGTTATATTTTTTACAATTAGGCATTAATTACAGAAAAAAACATGTTTATATAATAATATACAATGTATGTTATAAGCAATCCAAGCATAACTTGCACAGTTTTATCCAAGTAGTATAATCTGTGGACAAAAAAAAACGGCTTTAGAAAAATAAAAATAATATTATTAAGAGATAATAATTTAAAAACATCGACACACATCTTGGGATTTGAAATTTGTCATAGTGTATAGTATTCTACTAGTCAAGCCCTTTCATTTCGTAGCCATGTTGAGGGAGTTGGGAAAAAATATGTAATCCGCCATTTTGTGGCGGCGGCCATCTTGGACCGATTTTCATCAACCATAGCGAAGAACACTCCCGACTAATTCAGCGTTCAAACAAACAAAAACAAATACAAAATCGGTTCCATAGACAGACATACACACACACAGACACGTCAAATTTATAACACGCCGTCGTTTTTGCGTCGGCGATTTAAAAAAAAACTTTAAAAAATAAATTAAATTCTTCATCATTTCGACCAATAACTGGCCACTAACTGGTTGCTCTGGTCATTTTTGTTTATTATGCACTTGTTAACTTGTGTTGTTAGGTTTGTTATTCCAGTAGTCAGTGACCTTGACTGCTAAGCGTAAATCGTGGGTTTAATTCCCACCCAGGACAAATAATTGTGTTGAACACGGTCATTTGTTCTGTGTCTGGGTGTAATTTATCTGTAATATGTATGTATTTAGAAATATATAAGTATGATTATCAGCAGTCTGGTTACTGTAGTACAGGCTCTGGTACAGACTCTGTGTAGTTTGGGATCAGACGGCTGTGTATGATATGTTATATATAAATTACAACCAGACACAGAACAAAAATGATCATTCTTCTCATACAATATTTTTGTCCTAGGAAGGAATCGAACCGTCGACATCTTGTTTAGCAGTCAAGATAGCTAACGAATCTCTCTAGCCTCTCCTCCCTCTCCTTAGAAAGGAGGTTTTGGGCTTTGGAGGTTTGGTTGGTATAAGGTTTGTGTCAAGTTTTGCTCTCTGCCGAGCTGTTGTTCTGCGTAGTTTTTCCCTTAGTCGGCTCTTACGACACCCACGGGATGAATAGGGGTGGTGACACTCTGTATTCTTAATCGTACCAAAAAAAATGTTATAAATGAACACAAACAATATTCTCAATATGGCGTCAATTTATGACGTGACCAGTATATTTCGGAACAAATCAACATGATGGCGTCGACTCATCACGTCATAAGTATACTGGGTTATATTTCGGAACACACAACTGTTTAAAAATTATATTAAAATTCTTAGGCAGTGAGATATAGTGCGTAAATTTTATATATCAGTGACCTAACATTCAACAACCACCGTCTATTGTTATTGAGCATATATATATATATATATATACAGTGCAAAACAGAAATAAGAAAAAAAAAATTTTGTCGACAAAAACAGTGTAACCAAATAAACAGTGAATTCAAAAGCTAAAAACATATATGAAATAACGAAGCAGAAACATCTCAGAAAATTACATTTTTTTTTACCGTCGAAATATTAAATAAATTCTCTAAAACTAATTAAAACTTAAAAATGAAAAAAAGACGCCCGTTATCCTAATTGAATTTTTACCACAGCAATCATAACAATTCATGCAAACAGTGCCATCTATGGCACAGGGACGGAACTACTACACTCCATTCTTAACGATTAAACCAACAGCACAACTGCGTAAATAGTACCGATTTACTCCGCTAGATAGGATAGGATTAGAAAGGACTTACTATTAGGTCTTAACCTATGAAATTGCCGTTTTGTATGCAATAAGTGAAAGTACTTATTTTTTCAAACTTTTTTATTTCTGTTATTCGAAGTAATCACCCATGCAATCGACGCATCTTTGCCAACACATTGGCAGTTTATTGATGCCCTTCTTGTAAAAATCAGCTGGACGGGAGGCAACAAACTCTTCAAAGGCATTTTGTACTGCCTCTCGGGAATTGAATTTTTTACCCACTAAAAAGTTGTCTAAATATTGGAAAAAGTAATAGTCGGTAGGTGCAAGGTCTACGAACAAGGTCGAACATACTAAACATAAAAACTATGTCGATTTACATACGCTCTATTCCAGCTTAAATGCAGCACAAACGAAAAAACCGCACTGTCAGCATACTGCGCATACGCATACTCCAGATTGAGATACGGCATTATGTTATGATGAAACAGTGTAAAAAAATGATAATAATAATATTTTCACACACATCTCACACACGGCGGTCTGATCCCAAACTAGACAGAGCCTGTACTATGGTAACTAGACTGCTGATAAACATACTTATACATTTCTAAATACATACATATTATAGATAAAGTACACCCAGTCACAGAACAAATGATCGTGCTCATCACACAATTATTTGTTCTGGGTGGGAATCGAACCCACAACCTCTGGCGTAGCAGTCAGGGTCACTAACCACTAGACCAACCGACCAGTCTAAACGTATTAGAATTATCGGACAAATTGGAAATCGTGACAGCTGTTAGCCCTATTTCATAAAATTTAACATCATCACACTACCAAAATTATATGTATTTGACATATGCATATTTGTATCCAAGAAGATGAATCACTTCATAATAGTAAAAGACAATCACAATTTAAATACACGCCACAGAGACAGACTATACCTACCACCACCAAGAATTAAAATGCTAAACCAGAGCCCCTACAACATGGCTGTAAAAATATACAACAAACTAAATATCCACATAAAAACTGAATCAAAGATTACACTATTTATTTAACAACTAAAAGCATTCTTAATTGAAAAATGTTTCTATTCAGTTAAAGAATACATTGAAGCCATGGGCGTAGCTAGCTATGGGCAGAAATCTAAAATAATATGTAACTAGCAAACCATACCCGCTGTCGTACCCCGGTTTATTTTTTCATATAAACAGGTTACACCCTTTAGCAACTGTATCTGTACTCGTATGTATAATTCGAATTATCCATAACACTTTCTAATTGCTCATCTACCTACACCACGAAATCTTTCATCCAAAAATGTGTCTCTAACTTCAGCAGTCCGTGTGGTGACGGATTAAGAATACGGAATGTCATCACCCCTATTCATCCCCTGGGTGTCGTAAGAACCGACTAAGGGAGCAAACTACGCAGGACAACAGCACTGCAAAGAGAAGGAAAACTTGACACAAACCCTATACCAACCCGTCTGGCCAGCGTAGTATAGTAAGCCAAAACCTCCTTTCTAAGGAGAGACCTATGTCCAGCAGTGGACTATTTATAGGCTGTTGATGAACTTCAGCAGTATGCCAAGTTAGTACCCAGATAATTTATTTTTTTATGTTTGCTTAGGTACCTTCAGGTCAGAGCCAGGCCAGGCGAAAGCCCCACCGTGGCTACGCCCATGATTGAAGCAAAAAACACATTACAAATTACATATATTATTTCACGAATAACAGAATGAATATACCTAAACACAAATTATAAAAAAGAACAATCGGTTTTGATGCACAATACTGCCAGGGACAGTAGAAAAATACGTGTCGATGTAAAAGATCGAATGCCTTTGCATTTTACATGGTTTATTCAATTGTTATACTGAGCTATTGAGTCACTTTCTTATTATTATTATAAATCCTTGTACTTGTCTAATAATTTATTCTTCTGTGTCCTCTATTATAAATATGTAATTTTTTTTTTTTTTTTGTTGACGGGGTGGAAAATCCCTTCGGATCTCCTGCTCCTCGGGGCTAGGAGCTGGGAGTATGTGGTGATTCCACTAAAAACCACCCCGACGGCCGGCCTCAGGCCCTACTCTGGGAGGACCCGGACCATGTTATTTCAGGTCCTCCCCGAATTGACACCATCCCTAGTCAGGCCCTATCCCAGGGGAAAATCACTTCATCCCTCAATCGCGACGTGGCGGCCCAATTTCGTCTTAATGCAATCAGGCCGCCATCCTATCAGCGACATAACAGCAACATTCAATCAGCGACCAGAGGTCCCCACTCTCTGGCGGCCCGCGGCGCCGTCGGCGGCTGGTATGGTCGCCGACGTCCTCTACGCTCAGGATCGGCCCTCTCCCGATCCCGTTCAGCGGTCTCTTTCTGGAACATTACAGCTTCACAGAAAGAGACCACTGCGCCCCATCCCTCCTCACCCGCCAGCATGGCAGCAGTGATTGCTGGCGGGGACAGGTCTCTTCCGATTTGGCCGACCAGGACTTCGCGTTCAGGAGGTTTTGGCCTAGTATACCACGCTGGCCAGACGGGTTGGTATAGGGTTTGTGTCAAGTTTTCCTTCTCTTTGCAGTGCTGTTGTCCTGCGTAGTTTGCTCCCTTAGTCGCCTCTTACGACACCCACGGGATGAATAGGGGTTTTGACACTCCGTATTCTTTATCCGTCACCACACGGACCGTCTGTCACCACACGGACCTTATTACTATAATAAAACCATTAATGTACACTTGGTTGACAAATAAAGATATGATTTGATTATTACCTACCTAAGTTATAAAAATTCTATTGATAAGTTAAAAACTCTGTGTTAGTGAATAACCACGTTTTTATTGTTTTTTTTCTTTAAAAGAACACATTAGGAATATATCCTGTGCCGCGGGGGACTTTACAAACATACATGAAACGGACACAAAGAACATCCAGACTCAGAACAACAACTTGTGGATCACACAAAGTGTCGTCCCATATGGGCTTCCCTCGGCGTAGTAGGAAGCGGCGTGGCAACCGCTTAAACCACTACGCCATCCGTGCAGTCAGGTACAGGTACTATTAATATTTACCGTAAGGTATGGCGAATGGAATTAAGAAGTAAAAGAATACCACTGTTAGGCTTCTAACTCTAATCAGATCAACACCAAGATGTGAAAATTAAAATACTGTGTGTAATAGCCAAACTACATATACCTACATACAAAATTACATTTCTATACAACAAATACTTGTAGGTTAACATTGACTTCAACATTTGTTTACATAGTTACATTATCACCAGCTTTTAATAGTCCACTGCTGGACATAGGCCTCTCCTTAGAAAGGAGGTTTTGGCCTACTATACCACGCTGAACAGGCGGGTTGGTATAGGATTTATGTCAAGTTTTCCTTCGCTTTGCAGTGCTGTTGTCCTGCGTAGTTTGCTCCTTAGTTGGCTCTTACGACACACACGTTATGAATAAGGGTGGTGACACTCCGTATTGCTAGTCCGTCACCACATGGACATAGGGCAAACATTACGCAAGCATAGTTAAGGTGTAGCTAATATCAGCGCATAAACAAAGGTTTAGACTTTACACTGCTAAAATTTCGTTTAAATTACTAATTTTAATATGTGTTTTATAACTGACTAGCTGACTCTCCCAACTTCGCCTGCGTCTCTGAAAAGGAATAAAAGATGCTCATCTCCTATTGGTAGTAGCATGGTGTTATATTGCCTATAGCCTTCCTTGATAAATTGGCTATAGAACACTAAAAGGAGTTTTCAATTCGATCAAGTATTCCTGAAATTAGCGCTTTGAATCAAACAATCAAACTTTTCGGCTTAAAATATTGTATTATATTATAGAGGACAATAATTCCTTGAAATTATACAACTATGTATATGTAAATTTTACCTTGTATTGTTCTAAACCGTTCATACATAAACATACTCAATTTTTTAACCTTGAAAAGTGAGACGGAACTGAATTAACTGCCCATATTTCGGGGAAAACAATTTCAGTACCACTCACCTATAACCCCCGTTTTTTTCTGTGCGAATCTCCCTGCGTACACCACCCAACGGTGGGGTAGTTTGGTGGGACTCGAACCGACTAAACTGACGCCGTCTCCAGGTACTAGTATACCCTAGAAATGAAAGCCCTGGTGTCCACGCGTTACCCCCTATGGGCCTATTACTGTCAACCAAGCATTAGGATAGAAAGTTATTTTTATGGGCAACAAGCAGATTGGTCACTGATAGAAAGTGATTGCCTACAGCCATGGATATTTGCAACTGAAGTCACAAGTGTGTTGCGCCTCCAGCTCCTCAGAATCAAGGGTAGAAGAGATTTGTGCTCCACTAACTCCACTTACTCCGTGATAAGCAACTAATCATTGCTTAATTATTTACTACGGTTATTTTATTTTATTTACTTATAATTATTTCTACTTTAGATATCACAAAATTTTATTATGTACTAATAATTATCCGTATGGTGACGGATTAAGAATACGAGTATCACCACCCCTATTCATCCCGTGGGTGTCGTAAGAGCCGACTAAGGGCGCAAAACAACGCAGGTCACCAGCACTGCAAAAAGAAGGAAAACTTGACACAAACCCTATACCAACCCGTCTGGCTGGCGTGGTGTAGTAGGCCAAAACCTCCTTTCTAAGGAGAGGCTTATGTCCAGCAGTGGACTATTAAAGGCTGATGATGTGATGATGTGATGTGATGAAATTTTTATTATGTGCTAATAATTATCCGTGTAGTGACGGATTAAGAACACGGATTGTCACCACCCCTATTCATCCTGTGGGTGTCGTAAGAGCCGACTAAGGGAGCAAACTACGCAGAATAACAACACTGCAAAGATAAGGAAAACTTGACACAAACCCTATACCAACCCGTCTGGCCAGCGTGGTATAGTAGGCCAAAACTTCCTTTCTAAGGAGAGGCCTATGTCCAGCAGTAGACTGCTTAAGTTTCTTAATGACTATTAATTTAAAATCTGAAACTAAACGAAATTATTATTATTAACACTGGTTTTCTGTGCACGTGCACTTGGTATCACTCCGGTCTAACCGACCCGTAGTGCCGAAAGATGGGTCTCCCACGGCTTTATTTGGATGACAGGGAAGAAAGGTAGGTAAGAAGTGGGAAAATATAGCTTTTACAGTTGGTTTGGGTAGTGTGAGTAATAGTTTGGGTAGCTCAGGGTCGTACACTTGTGACCATTCATCAAAATAAAAAATGTCAATTCTTACTGCTTGTGTAGTCTTCTGGCTTGAGGTAGCGTCGATGGGTCTTCCTTCACCACGTACTCTCTGGCACCCCTGATGTAATTTCGGATATATTTGTTCCAGTTGATAGCCTGGATAAAGGAAGAAGACCACTATTAGTTTCAATTGTCTTGAAGTCATCATTATCTGTTTGCCGTTCTGTTTTCAAGTTTATCTAACGTCGGTGCAATTTGTACACCTATTCAAAAAGGTTTTGCTTAATTTTGCCACCCTTTGAACCCCACCCCCCAGAAACATCGGAAGGGGAGGATTTGGGTTCCGGCCGCATCATGACTCTCCAACGAATATTCTTGAGAAAGTAATCGGACAAAAGAAGAAGGCAGATGCCAGTGAGGATAACGGATAAACCGAGGGAGCTAGGGCAAGGATACCGTCACTCTTGGATTTGGAAATAGAACTGAGAAGCCAGGTAGCTTACCTGGATACGCGTATTGTGACGTCAAAATCGGTTGAAACACGTCCGTAAACCGATATCTTATTTGTCATTAAAACACACAAATTGTTGTAGTTATAACAGAGCAACCAAATCGTTCGGATCTCGGTAGGTTATGTAGAAATAAAGAGTCAAATATTAGCAGAAGGAATAAACTGTTTTTCTTACATCAGGCACTTAACGCCATCTAGTTTCAAACTAAGCAGAGCTTGTATTATAAAAGCTTGATTGAATACTTAGATACTTTATTTTCTAAATACATATTATACATAGAAAACACTCAAACTCTGAAACAAATATTTACAGATCATACAAACATTTGGTCCGACCCGGGCATAGAACCCGAGACCTCAGCACAGCAGTCGCATACACTACCACTGCATCACCGAGATAGGCAGTACTGACAGTGTAAAAATTTGTAGAAGTTTTAATTAAATTTCACTTCATCAAAAGTCAGGATTAAAAACGAAGAAGTGCGTGATTGCTATTAAAATTGTGGTAGGCGTTATTTATTTCAACAAAAGTATATCCAGAAGGATATCGTTTAACATACGTGGACTTACCCGGAGATCAGTGTAAAATACATTATTGTCTTGATTGCTGATCTGGTCTTTGAGAGCTGCGAAGTTGTCATTAACGAAATACCATTCCTTTGTGGTGTAATATTGAAGTACTTCCAAACCATAGTTGATACGTTTCTGCATCTTTATCATACTGGAACAAAAGATAAAGAAAATATTTTAGATTGTCTTTTAACGTATAAAAGTGAGAGAATGTTGATGATTGACTGGTCAATGATTAACTGGCGAAACAAGGGGATTGCCAGAGGTGGGACGAATCATTTCCTAACACAAATATATTTTTGAACCATAACTTAATAACCTTTAAACAGTACAGCAAAAGCAAAAGTCAAGACACAACACACGTATCAATGAATGTAGTAAATGTACCACAAATATATCTCATTAAAATAACCGGCCAGTGCGAGTCTGATTTGCGCACGAAGGGTTCCATACCATAAAAACGCCTAAAAAACATTTCTGTTGTATGGGAGCCCCACTTAAATAAATTATTCTGTTTTTAGTATTTGTTGTTATAGCGGCAACAGAAGTACATAATCTATAAAAATGTCAACTGTCTAACTATCACGGTTCATGAGATACAGCCTGGTGACAGACGGACGGACGGACAGTGAAGTCTTAGTAATAGGGTCCCGTTTTACCCTTTGGTTGTTTTGGGTACGGAACTCTAAAAAAGCAGTTGTTTGTGGGCGGAAAGTGCCTGCGCCTCTCCTTGTTGTTAAATTGTTTACATACTTACATTGCTATTTTATTAGTTTAGGCGCTTAATACAAATTCTTATCTGAAATCATTTTCTGTTAATGTAAGCGTCTTTTGGTAAATTTTATTGAAAAAAATAAAGAAAAAAGAATATTTTTTTTTAAGTTAATATTTTAGAACATTCTGATCATCCTATCTATATTTTACACGTGACCGGTGCTTCCCGGCCACAAACAATTGCTTCTTTAACTAGATGTATTTGTGGTACATTTAATCTATTCATTGATACAGCTAGAATATTTAATTGATACACCTATAAAATATGAAATGGACTGTGGCCGGGCTGTGCCGCAATATACCAGGCCTGCTATTTTAATATTGTATCAATAGACTGTCGATGGAATGTCGTCGGAATAGTTTTGCACTTTTCCTATTCTACTAACTATGTGAGACCAATGGCCTCCCGATGACTTGTCAGAGATACAAATATCTTCGAAGTCTTTGTAATGATTTGGTAAACGGTACATTTTAAATTTGTAAGAAAATGATATATTTAATTTTCCAGGTATGGCAATGTTGTTGATGATTACAATATCGATAATATCTATTGATACTGTGAATTTGTGTTAGTAGATTAGCGTGTCAATGGAATGACCGTGTCACGGTACTATTATAATACAGTACTCCAACTTCATACAAACGGACGAAACGCGAGCTATACCTACGCGCCTCGATCTCGGGGTGCGCTCGGGGCGCAGACAGTCACGGCTGTACCGCAGTGTCGAACGGACTGTGTGTTGTTTTTTTAACAATAACCGGGCGATTTTTTTTTTCTAAAAATCAGTTAATATGACGAGTAGGAAATATTGTGCTGTTTTTGGTTGTATGAATTCGTCAATAACGCATCCAGACATAAGTTTTTTTAAATTACCTGGAATCTCTGAAAGGTAAGACTATAAAATAATTTTACTTACTAGTAGGTAAGTACATAATGTGTGTCTTTTTAATGGATAAGTATTTCCTTTTATCTCACGAAATAAAAGGTGTTTGGATTAATAAATAAAGCAAATAGAGTAACGGAAAGTTATTGAGACGAGTGAAATAGGTAGTTATATGCGGTTCTCAATGAATCATGAGACGGTAGGTACCTACGCTTGTGTTTAAACTTCGGTGCATGTGTGTTTTCTTACTTTGCATAATTCAAAGTAAAGACGTGGTATTTTATTATTAATAATATTTGTTTATTATCTGTGTGTATGAATAAATACTAGAAAATTTTTTTTACCGTCTGTGTGTCATTAGATGGTTTTCGAAATTTTCACAAAGTGTTTCTGCTGCTACTATAACAACATATACCACTAAAAACTGGTTTTATTTTCTCGGTATTAACAACAACAGCTAGACTCGTATATAACATTTAGATGTTTGAGGGTTGTGATTTTAAAACATTCGTAGTCAGCTGTTCAGCTTTTTAATAATTAATTAATTGGTGACCAAAAGAATTTTTGTTTTGAGTTGATGCGAGTTGTAGGTAGGTACCTAATTTATAGAGACGTTAATAAGCTGAGATAAAAAGTTACTTACTCGTCAGCTGTTTCTTGCATTCTAATTGAGTAGGTGTTGAAGTTTTTAAGGATTGGAGTTTTGTAACGCGTAAGGAGAAAGCACATTTTTTTTATTCTATAGAAGGATTTTTAAGCTATTGCATAGCTTTTATCGCGGGCTCTGAGCGCGGCGCGGCGCGGTGACCGAATTAAGAAATTATCAAAACCTAACGAAAAATACCTGACACCACGCAGATTTTTTTCTTTTAAAGAAAAAAAAATGTTATGCAATAGCTTTACCGCGGCAGTCTCCGAGAGTGCCAGACGTCTTCAATGGTTGCAACTGATCCGGCGAGATGATTTGGAAAACAAACCTAACTTTAGTTCCTACCAAGTTTGTGAAAAACATTTTAATTTGGAGGATGTGTTACATTCTTCAAATATAAAACTTTTGAAAAAGAATGGCCTACCTTTGTTGATGCTGCCAAGCTTAGCTAGTACTGATCCAGGAGTCTCTCTAAAAGAAGATAAGCAAACCCAAACTGCTCCGTTGGTAGGAAATGAAAATAGTACACAGACTGAAAATGCAACAAACGGAATCTTTGCTCAAACCTCAACGAGTCTCTCTAGCAACACTCCAAGGAAAAGAAAATTGAAACTTGAACTCCTCCAATGCAGAAAGAAAATAAAATTACACGAAACTGAAAATGAAACACAAAAAGCTGAAGAAAATACTTTCTATCGACTTTGCGATAAATTTTTGACCGACAAACTAGCTCTCCTGATAAAAGCCCAAAGTAAACTAAAACAACATGGAAAAGGAAATCGATATGATAAAGACTACATCATTTACTGTTTAAATTTATACTACATCAGCCCACAAGCATACCGGTTTTTGCAAAGTGCGTTATGTTTACCCTGTCCTTCAACATTGTTCAATCATTCTTTCCCAATTACAACGGAAATCAATGAAAGAGCTATGTCTCTTCTTAAATTAAAAGTTGCACAAATGACAGAAACAGAAAAAAATTGTTCAGTTACGAGTATGATTGATGCTATGTCAATAAAAGCAAATCTATTCTTTAATATTAAAGAAGACAAAATTACTGGATTCCACGAAATTGAAGGATTGCAGTCTCCTGAACCCGCTAAAAATGCGTTAGTAATAATGGTTCGTGGTATGTTTGTAAACTGGAAACAGCCTATATCATATGCATTTATTTCAGAATGTCGAAACTATGAAGAAATAAATAAATGGATTGATAAAGTACTGCAAAAGTTATTCGAAATTGGTCTTAACGTCCGTATTTTTGTGTCTGATCAAGGGTCTGATTTATGGAAAGCTGCCAAACAAAGATCAGTTTCAATTAAAAGACCATATTTTTTTATAAATGATAGAAAAAATTATTATATTTTTGATGCACCGCATCTAATTAAAAACGTTCGAAATAACCTGATGCAATATGATTTCCACTTCGGTGATTCTATAGCAAAATATGATCACATTGTCAAGTTTTATAATCAGGACATAAAAAAGAGTTTGAGGCTTGCACCTAAACTTAACGACAGTCATATCAAACCCACAAACTTCGAGAAAATGAAGGTTTGCTATGCGACACAACTTCTTAGCAAGTCCGTTGCAAATGGCATTCGTACGTATATAGATAACAATGAAATTGAAGAATCCGGCAGAGACACGGCAAAATTTTTAATGATGATGAATAATTTGTTCGATTCTTTGAATACATCTAATCTGAGGAATAGTTATGAATATAAAAGAGCGTATGAAGGCAATGAGTCACAAAAGGCATTTTTTAAATAGATGCTAAGCTTTTTCAAAGATTTAAAATTAAAGAATCCAAAAAATGGCAATAACGTCACATCAAGTGTTAGATTCATTGATGGTTTCCAAATAACTATTACATCCATAATGCTCTTGTTCGATGACTTGCGGATGGAAGGATTTAATTATCTTATGACTAGAAGATGCAATCAAGACGCTCTTGAAATTTTTTTCGGACAAATTCGAACGAAAACTGGCACGGCTCTAAATCCGACTTGTAGACAATTTGCATCGGCGTTTAAAAACTTATTTTTCTGCAACATCATAAAACCTCCAAAAGGCGGGAATTGTGCAGATGATTTCGGAACTCTTCTTGTTGAATCGACGAACAAAAAAGATACTAGCGATGCATTACTGGTATCATCCAACGAAATATCAAATACAGATTTTGAAGAATTTTCCAGCATCCAAATTACTAGTTCGGATTACAATCAGCTAGATATACCAGAAAAAAAATCACTTTTTTTATATTTGTGCGTATCTTCTTAAGCGTTGTTTGGAGAAACATGATGATTGTCATGCTTTGAAATCGTATGTGAAACCCGATCAAAAAAGCCACAATTTCAGCTCGAGTCGGTATTTAAGGTACCGGGACTAGAGTAAGATTAATTCGCGAACTTTTTTGATTGTACCCAACGATGATTTTGTGGAATATATAGAAAAAATGGAGGAAATATTCCGAAATTCACTTAAAACCAAACATGTAAATTGTAAAGTAGCTGCAGGTATCTATAACCAAGTAAAAGATATTCCATTTTCTCCACCTTGTCCATGTTTCCCAAAACAATTTTTATTAAGCTTTATATAATAATGCGGATTTATTATACTTTAAAATTTAACAATAAAGCATTTCGTACGACTCAGTCGAGGCGCAAATATTTTTCGGTCTCAAATTTATAAGCCCGATTTATTTTTCAAACAAAAACATGTTTTTTTAATTAAATTTACCAATCAAAAAACAACACGCATTTTTATTGAACACTTCCTATTCAATATACAAAGTATTTCATTTATTTATATAAAAAGGATATTTACAATCACAAATCTAAATAGAAACAGAAAGTAGGAAAATATAATTAAAATGCTGGAGACGGGCAGCCCTAACGCATGTTTACGTACCGCGCGGCTGTAGGCATTTATTCCTATCATGCGGCCGAGTTACACTACTGTATTATAATTGTACCGTGACCGTGTCTCGGCGTTTACATAAAATAGCAGAATTGAGGCCCCAGTGTGGAGCCATTTTAGTTTTGCAATACGACCAGTAAACTTTTCAATTGGCAAAAAATAACGTATTATAAGTACGTGTATTGATGGTTTCTTCATAATATAAATTAATTACATTAAATGCGCATTCATATTTATTCTTCTTAATTCAGGGTAACTTCATGATCGAGAAAACATGGATTGCAACGTGTTTATAACACTTTTGTTCACATGATCACATCAACAGTCTTTAGTAGTCCATTGGTGGACATAGGACTCACTTTAGAAAGGAGGTTTTGGCCTACTATACCACGCTGGCCAGACGAGTTGGTATCTGTGCTGTGTCCTGCGTAGTTTGCTCCCTTAGTCGTTTCTTACGACACCCCTGTGATGAATAGCGGTGGTGACACTCCGTATTCTCAATCCGTCACTACATGGAGGGTTGCCATACTAAAAATAATACTTACAAAGTCTTCTGTCCCATTAGAAATAGAAGGAGATCTACAAAATAAGCTGGTAGAAGATGGGTGAAGAAGAGAGCCAATTGGTGCTGAATCCATGAGCTCTTGGCAGAACCGCCAGGGTACCACAGACAGATGGAGAAAGGGAACTCATGGACGTGAACGCGACCTGAAACAGTAGTTAGTTTTGTCTAAAATTAAAGCAATCGTAAAATACTATTCTGTTTTTTTTTATATATGGGGTAAAAGAGCAGACGGTTGGCCTAATGGTAAGTGACTACCGCAACTAAAGATATAAGTGCAGTACTATCTTTGAGTGTCCTCCCCCCAAGTTAGTCGGGAGCCATCCTTTGAGTGTCTTCCCCCCAAAGTTAGGAGGGAGACCGTTTGAGGGTCCTCAGGAACGAACGAAGGAAGGTAAAACGGAAACTTTAGGTGAAACGGGCCCCTTCACAACTGATCTTTATGTTTTTTTTGGGTTTTGATGTAAAATTTGCAATTTTTGATTTGGTTTGGTTTGGTTTATGACAGTGTGTTCTAACGGTGTTTATATGCAAAGTGACATGTGATTCACCTATTTGTTGACTATGGAGACAATTACACTACACATAACCTTTTGTGATTAGTTTTGTTTAAGCATAAAAGGCAACACGGACCCTGGCAAAATGGCCAGGGCCGTTTTGCCTTCAATGAAAAAAACTTGCTTGGTATTTATTCTACTCATGATATGTTTTTTTGGTCTGTTTTAGGTAGTTAACAATTACAAAAGAAAGTCTAATAGAAATTTCTGGGATGAAGTTAATATGATGCGTGCTATTGAGAAAGTTACATCCGGAGAAATTAGCTTGAATAAAGCTACCGCTGAATTCAATGTGCCGAAAACTACTTTAAAAAGGGCAATGAAGAAATACTCGGTCACCCCAAATATTGATAAAGCGACAGAAAAGAAAAAAGGAGATTTCTTAGGATTGAGAAGCTGATACCGAATGCCTTTATTGTACCCGATAGTTGCGACACGAGCAAGCGGGTTGTAATCACGAAAGATTATTTCCCTTATCATCACTCGCTGTTCAGTCGATTCAGTTAAGACCCTCCTGATGGTATAATAATAATAATATATTCTACCAGATTCACACAACGCCATCTAGTCCCAAACTAAGCAGAGCTTGTGCTATGGGTACTAGACAACTGATATAAATACATATATACTTTTTTTTTGTAAATACATACATATTATACATAGAAACACCCAGACCAAATCAAACATTAAATGTTCAGCACACAAATGTTTGAGCGGGAATCGAACCCACGACCTTTGGAATAGCAGTCCGTTACACAAACCACTACGCCATCCGGTCGTCAAAAATGATAATAAATGGTGGATGATAAGTTTTCAGAATCCAGCGGTGGTTGGGTCCAGTGTCCCAATTGTTCTCTGTCCATCATCAGCACAAGAAACTAGATTTGTTTGTGAAAAATGTTCTGACTGTCTAGGCCCATTTTGTCTTCAAATGTGGTCCTTATTCCCTCACACGTTAAGGCAAAATGAACCTTTTTTAAACGATTCAAGTCTGATTAATAATTAAACGTTATAGTAAATAATTTTGAATAGTTATGCTTAAAGAAAATTTAAATAAAAGTATTTTTTTTCTACATCACCTTTCCTGTAACTCAAATTCTGAAAAAAATGTTAGATGCGCTTTTTTAACTATCGGGGCAGAGATGATGATATTATGTTTTGTTGTCATAAGACTTACCCATATCTAAAGCTTGCCCCCACGTCAGAGGGTTCAGCTCTGATAATGTGATATTGCAGATCTTCAACTCTTTGGGCCTGAAATATTACATAAGTTACGTTATAATTTTGTTCTAATTGGTCAGCCATTTTGTGCATTGGGTAATCCTCACCCAGGACCGATAATTGTGTGTTTCTGGGTGATGTATCTACAATATGTATGTCTTTCGAAACATGTATGTCTACACAGGCTCTGCAGAATGTAAATTACATACTACTCAAGTTATCTACATTCTATACACATAAATAAATTTTAAATGTCTTTGATTTTGAAATGCATGTGCGTGATCCATTCATAAAGGGAGGGGAGGGGTTTTCGAAATACCAAACTTGAGCACAGAGGCATGGAGGGGGTTTAGGTTTTTATCGCATAGAATCGGCTTTTTCAAATTTAAATATGTCAAGCGCTATATTAATTCTTCTTAGACCACTTTAAATGCATCACTGTCTCTAATTAATTTCGATGATGTTCTGTATGTTTTGTATATTGTTATAGATATTGCTTTGTATAATCTTAGATGTAACTGTCCCTTACCGTGCCGTGCCGTGGCAACTTTTAAGTAAGACAACACTCAGCACATATTTGTAAAACATATTTGTAAACTATGGATATTATATTTTTAAAAAGACAACTCCCGCATTAGGAAAATATCCTGTGTCGCGGTGGGACTTTACAAACATACATGAAACAGACACAAATAACACCCAGACTTGGAACAACAATTTGTGGATCACACAAAGTGTCGTCCCATGTGGGGTTTGAACCCACAACACTCGGCGCAGTAGGAAGCGGCGTGGCGACCGCTTAAACCACTACGCCATCCGTGCAGTCATGTAGTAGAATGTATTAGTGTAGAGGAAAAGGGTGAAAAACTCGTAAGAAAAGTGGAGAAGTTAACTTGGACTAAGGCAGAGACAAAGAGACTATAGCCCCTTACCCCAATGGTATTCTTTCATATTTATTAAATGTAAGTATTTTGATATATTTTCACAATACAGCACTCTAAGACATACTTATATTAAATTCTATATTTTATTTTGTTAATATATATTGATAAATGTATGGATAAATGAGGTAGGGTGACGGCTTAAAAATACGGAGTGTCACCACCCCTATTCATTCAGCAAACTACGCAGGACAACAGCACTGCAAAGAGAAGGAAAACTTGACACAAACCATATACCAACCCGTCCGTCCAGCGTGGTATAGTTAATCCAAAACGTCCTTCCTAAGGAGATGCCTACGTCCAGCAGTGGACAATAATAAATAATCATAATAATAATAATATTCTACCACATATACACAACGCTATCTAGTCCCAAACTAAGCAGAGCTTGTACTATGGGTACTAGACAACTGATATAAATACATATATACTTTTTTTTTTTGTAAATACATACATATTATACATAGAAACACCCAGACCAAATCAAACATCAAATGTTCATGCACACAAATGTTTGACTTGAGCGGGAATCGAATCAATAAAAGCTGTTAATGAGGATTGTAATTAAATAAGGCAGAACGTTCTAGAAACTACGTACTGTTCTATTCCAGTGAGGTAGGAGAGGACAATACAGGCGTTGACAGCGATGTCCACTGGCACCACATCGGCGCGGTAACTGTCGTTGCAATGCATCGTCCGAATTACACCTGAAATAGTTTAATATATACAGAGTGTTTTAAAAACTTAAAACCAAATAACATACATATAAATTTAATGCCAATTTTAATGATTTCTTACAAGAACTTCTTTTTTTTTTTAAAGTACAACTCCCGCATTAGGAATATATCCTGTGTCGCGGGGGACTTTACAAACATACATGAAACGGACACAAAGAACACCCAGACTCAGAACAACAATTTGTGGATCACACAAAGTGTCGTCCCATGTGGGAATCGAACCTACACTCAGCGTAGTAGTAAACGGCGTGGCGACCGCTTAAACCACTACGTGCAGTCATTTCGACCAATCATCTGAAGTTTTACCGTTTTCATGTTTGCTACCTTACGGGTAATAGTCTCACCTTTGCCAGCTCCTACTAAGAGACCGGTGGGTCCGTTGAGATTGTCCACCCATCCCGGCAACGGTTCTTTGTATGCTGCTGTTACTGAAATTAAAAAGAATCTTCATTATTATCAACGTCCTTTATAAGTGGACCCCTGCTGGACCTAGGTCTCTCTTTAGAAAGGAGGTTTTGTCCTACTAAAAGAATGGTCTTTAGTAATTGAAATAATTAAAGGCAAAGCGGTTTAGTAACTTCTGTAATCTATATGTTAACAGTTTTTTTTTCGACGTAGTAGCTATCATAAATAAATAAATATTTTTTTGGACATCTGACACAGTTCCGTCTAGTTTCAAACTAAGCAAAGCTGGTACTATGAAAGTTTTTTTTGTAAATACATAAACGTTTTCGCAGATATTCGCAGATCATACAAATATTTGATCACTATAATGTATAAACAGGGTGGCGACAATAGACTGTTATTTAAAAGATCTCCAAAAGCTTTTAATTGCCCACTGCTGGACTTAGGCCTCTCCTTAGAAAAGAGATGTTGGTCTTCTATACCACGCTGGCCAAACGGGTTGGTATAGGGTTTGTTTCAAGTGTTCCTTCTCTTTGCAGTGCTGTTGTCCTGAGTAGTTTGCTCCCTTAGTCGGCTTTTACTACACCCACGGGATGAACTGGGGAGTGATACTCCGTATTATTAATCCGTCACCACGCGGAGATTTACAAATTTATGATTGAAAATCTATTATCAAATCTGACTTATGTGACCTTTCAGAGAAAAAACAAGAGACTGAAATCAGTGTAGTCGTTTGAGAGTTTTAAATCCAAAGATAAGTACATATAAAATTAAATGATGAGAAGGCTTTTTTTTAAGTTGAATATTTTAGAAGAATTGTTGTGGTATTTTGATATTTGTTGTATGCTACTCACCAATAGATGGCCGTGCAATCGCAATGGGAAACTTGCCCTCGTATTGTGAGACTAAATCCTCTGTGAGGGATTTTGTGTATGCGTAAGTGTTCGGCTGTGGCTCTATTATTCTGTAAGAGAGAACATTTTCATTGAGAATTCTTTCTTGGTGTAAAATTTAATATATGACGCAGGTACTTAAATCATTATAAATTTATAACTTAAGATACATATAGCTGCCTAATCCCAAACTAGTCTAACATTATATAAAAGTACTATCAAACCATTCTAGATAGATTACAATCAGCCAGAGAACAATAATAACCGTTCTCATTATAGAATTGTTCGTCTATTCAACAACAGATGTCACTGCATTAAAGTATTCAAATACTTTTAATAATTCGATTCTTCAAACTCACTTAGGTTGCAGATGTTTCAACAAATCGTCATCCATCCAATCGACAGTTTGCATGACGTGATGTGGCCTATGTTTTGAGGGGTATAGCTTCTCTTCAAACAGTTCCATCTCGCAGCGACAGTAAGAAGTTGACACGTGGACAAAAACCTGGAAGAAACGTTATAAAAACTTATTTAATTCAATTCTTTATGCACAAATAACAATTAATTGAACAATGGCTGACTTAATACCACAGGAATTTTCTTCCAGTCTATTTTGGAGTGGTAGAGGAAATGTCTGACTAAGTGCATTAGAAATCTAGTTTTTTTGGCAGAGACTTCGTAACTTTCTTCCTACCGGTACAAAAGTTGCCCTTTTTTTTCACGTGTGGAAACCCCCGTCGGGCTGTCACCGCTTCGGGATTTACGGTGGGATGGTGTGTTGGAATCGGACTAACGGGGTACCACTCGGCGCCTGTAATAGGAGGGATCCGGGAACTGCTGTTATTAGCATATACAAAAATTGCTCTAGTACAATCTCTTCTTTTTCCAATCCTGGACTATGGTGATGTTAGATATCTAGATCTCTCCGAAGACCAATTAAACAAACTTGAGCGTCTCCAAAATGTCTGCATCAGATTCATATTCGGTTTACGCAAATATGATCACATCTCTGAGTATCGTGTTAAGCTCAAATGGTTACCTATACGCCTTCGCCGGAATGTTCATATTCTCTCTATTTTGTACCGTACTCTGTTCTTCATATCTCAAAGAACGTTTTGAATTTTAACACAATTCACATTGCAGGTCCTTGAGATCGTCAGAAAATCTGAAGTTAAAAATACCTAGGCACACCACACAATTTCCTGATAAGTCGTTCTCAGTGCAAGCAGTTTTCGGTTCGGTAGTTTTCAGGTAACATATAGTACCGAATTAAGCACATTTCTTGAAAGAGTAGATAGATTTTTTTTACTCGATTGTGATCTGGTACAGAATGCCAATAAAGACACTGATTTGAGTTCTTATGTCAGAGCTGTCTGGTCGGATGTCTCAAACATTCAAGCCTTTTTATAGAGAAAACATTGGTCCTTCAATCCTGGATTCTAACTGAAGATACTTATATATTACCAATACATTTATCATCATCATCATTACCCTTTACTAGTCCACTGCTGGGCATATGCCTCTCCTTAGAAAGGAGGTTTTGGCCTACTATACGCTGGCTAGTCAGGACGGTAAAGAGTTTGTTTCAAGTTTTTCTTCTCTTTGCAGTGCTGTTGTCCTGAGTAGTTTGACCTTAGCCGATTCTTACGACTCCCATGGCTTGGATAAGGGTGGTGACACTCCGTAATCTTAATCCGCCACCACACGAACAGGGCAATAGATACAATATACACGGTGATTTTATAGGCGTTCTGGAAACGAAACATTTTAATTTGGAATCATCTATAGTACCAATAAAAATGGTTAAATCAATTGTAATGTTGACTAAAAAAAGTTTCAGTTTTAATATTCATTTTTACTCGATCGACTTGGAAAGTAGTAATGGACTGATCATTCATTCATTTTCTTATATGAATGAAACACGTCCGTGCGCGTTTCGGCGGTCGACGCTAACAGCAGCTGATAAAAGTATACCTATAGGCGCGAGCTAGCGAGTACTTACGTAGATAGTCCGTCCTCCAGTTTGTCCTTCATACTTTACACGGGCTTAGTACCGTCGGAAATACCTATTTGATTTAAACTTCTTTTCGATTATTAACCTCGATTGTTCTTGTCACAACAAATCAACTTATCAACGGACTGTAAGTATAAATATTTCAGGCGTATTTAAAAAATCGGAGCTATCTACAAAATAATTAACTTACATACCTATTTACAGTTTATTTACACTTCTCTGTATAGAAGCAACTGCTCAAAACGGAGTTCGCTGCGTTCTATACACAAAGGTCCACGTTTAATGCAATTGTTTTTTCACTTTACACTTTATCAAAAGCGTCCACTATCGCAATGCGTAAATCATAACGGCTTTCATATTCCCGTGTATAAACAAGTCTTTATTTTCGACCATAAGAAAAAATCCAGGGGCGTTAAGTCCGGGCTTCTAGTTGGCCAAGGCATAGGCCCACCTCGACCTATGCACCGATCACTAAACTCATTGTCCAGGTATGCACGCACTACACTCGCGTAATGAGCGGGACAGCCGTCGTGTTGGTAATACATACCTCTCGAGTGAGCTAACGGCACATCGTCTGCTAACTCAGATATTACTGTCCTTAAAATCTCTAAGTACGAGTTGCCGGTTAGATGACCTTCAATAAAAATAGGCCCTATTAATTGGTCGTTAATAATACGGGCCAAACGTTCACACTGAAACGAACCTGGTGATGGTTTTCTCGTATCAAGTGGGGGTTAATTAGAGCCCAGTAATGCTCATTGTGCACATTGTATAGTCCCACTCGAGTAAACAGTGACTCGTCCGTCCAGAGTATGTTGGCGTTTGTATTATTTAACAACCACTGACAAAAGGCGATTCTTGCCGGTGCGTCAGTGTTGTTTATTACGTGAGCCTTACGAAAATGATACGGATTTAATCCTTGTGTACGTAATATCTTCCATACGAAGTTTTGGCTAACATCGAATTCTCGTGCTGCCGTCCTTGTGCTCCGCCGGGGATCGCGCTCGAAGTACTCAAGAACATCTTCAAACTCCGGCGAATAAGAATTTAAACGTCCTTGACCTTGCGCATGAGTAGGCGCACGAAATTGTCCGTGGTCGAGAAGACGTTGGGTTGCAGCCAAGATGGTAGGTGTGGAGGGAATTTGAGGGCTTTCAATTCCACGTAGCCGTAGTGCATTTAAATGCTCCGGCTGGGAATACAAACGCCGAGCCTCTTCCAAGTTGTAGTTGGCAGTAGCGTACAGCTGTACCATTGCCAAGTACTCAGCGTTTGAAAATTCGTACTGTCGACTCATTTTAGCGCTAATCAATGTAGCGTGCATCAATGTAGCGTGCCGTCACGATGTTATGGTATAACTGACCAACTGAAAGCGAAGGACGCCTCACGATTACAGATGAGTCCCGCGCATGCGCCTACGGGCAATGCCGTCATCGGTTGGACGACTCCGGAGCAACTCGGTAGCTTTGTTTTTATTGGCGAATACGATTTTATGTGACTCGATATTAAAACGCATAGTATTTCTATTTGTAGTATTTACCTAGGTGTGATTGAAAAGCCCTCCTACTGGTTCTCACCTTTTCTCTGTAAACGATATGAATATCGACTTTGATGATAAAAAGTAAACATATTTTATTAAACTAACGTTATATATAGCTTCTGTTACTGATAAATAATTCAAAATTTTCTTTTCCAAAACGCTTTCAAAATCACCGTGTATATTTATATTATAGATAAATTACATCCAGACTCTGAGCAAATGGTTGTACTCATCACATAATATTTTGTTTTGAGTGGGAACCGAGCTTACGAGCTTCGGCAGCCGTAAAACAGAGGGCTTAACAATCAGGATTGCTAACCACTAAATCAAAAGATCAAGATCAAGCGCCGCAAGTGGAAACGTTAGTGGATTACGTTCATGGGCGGCGATGGTCACTTTCCATCAGGTGACCCGTCTGCTCGTCTGCCCCCTCTAACATAAAAAAATCGAAGCATAGATCACCAAAGAAAATTAACATTTTATTATGTTATTTACCTCAAGATTCTTTACGCCTTCTGTCAACTCGAGGACCATTTTAGTACCGAGTGTGTTCATCTTTACAGCATCTCTAAGGAACATGTCGAACCTGGAAAATATGAGACTATTATAAAAACAGTTCTGAGAGCCATACTTCGGCCCTAATAATCCGGCTTCATCATCATCATCAACAGCCTTTACTAGTCCACTGCTGGACATGGGCCTCTCCTTAGAAATGAGGTTTTGGCCTACTATACCACGCTAGCCAGACGGGTTGGTATAGGGTTTGTGTCAAGTGTTCCTTCTCTCTGCAGTGCTGTTGTCCTGCGTAGTTTGCTCCCTTAGTCGACTTTTACGACACCCCTGGGATGAATAGGGGTGGTGAAACTCTGTATTCTTAACCCGTCACTACACGGACTAATCCGGCTTGGTCTCACTGAAAACCGTAATGTAACAAATTCCTTTCTTGCTTTACACCGATTTGGTAAGGTTACCGGAGTCCGGCTTATTTGGAATCCAAAGCATATTATTTATATGTATAAATGTTAAGTTGGTTTGGATACGCTTCAAAAATTTAAAAAGTTCTGTGCTTGACACAACAATATGGTGTAGGGGAGAGTGACCAATATTGAACCGGCGCTTTAATTGCACCACTTATGTAATTCTACCAAAATGGCGCTATTTGGTATAGTATATTGCCACAAAAAGGAGCCTTACAAAATGGCGGAGTATGTCCAGCAGTGGACTAGTAAAGGCTGTTGATGATGATGATGATGATGATGTAAAAAAATATTGTCATTTTGGTAGAAATACAGAATTGGTCCAATTTAAGTGCCTGTTCAATATTGGTTACTCTTCCCTACAAATTATCTCAAGATTCGTTTTATCTATTATTCTAGTCAGTTCTGTTTTTCATTTCTCATTAATGCAACCATAATGTGCAACGGCGGAGCGTTGCAAGGTACAGCTAATTGTGCTATAAATGTTGCTATGGGAGACACTGGCCTGTGTAACAATCATACCAGCACAATTATTCTCTTTTTGTGTCAATACTTTTATTAAAACTTGAATTAAATAAAAATGTAAATGAAATTAACAATAAAAATTAATTAAGTTAGAATATTTACAACATTTACACTATTCACATACAAGCATCAAAAAATTCACCGCCTACTGGTGGCGTTCCCAGAAGGCTGGCAGCATTGCCACGTTGAATGGCGATGCTAATTCTCTGTGCTAGAAAAAGACCAGCCTTCTGATCACGAGAAGTGTCAATCAGTTGTTTAGCTAGCTGTTTATACACAGTACGAGCACTTGGACCCCATGACCCTAGCGTTTCGTTTCTTAGATCTTAATAACGTGTAAATTTAAAATTTAAATTTAAATTTGTTTATTCTGTGACTGTGTTTTTCGCTGTAAAGTTTGTTGGACTCAAAGCTGATTAAGTAAGGAATTTATCAATATGGCCACCGTAATTTTGTTTCAATTTGAACCCTTGCACTACAACGCAATCTATACTAATATTATAAAGCTGAAGAGTTTGTTTGTTTGTTTGTTTGTTTGAACGCGCTAATCTCAGGAACTACTGGTCCGATTTGAAAAATTCTTTCAGTGTTAGATAGCCCATTTATCGAGGAAGGCTATAGGCTATATATCATCACGCTAAGACCAATAGGAGCGGAGCACCAATGAAGAATGTTTCAAAAACGGAGAAAATTTATTACTATTGAGGCACCGACTTCAAACAGACTAGAAGGGACTATTGGTATTGTAATGTTACCTGTTACATTGAGGGTACTTATTATAGTTTTTTACTTAGATTTGTAATTATTGTTTAATTTTTAGTGCTCTTTGTCGGTGTTTTTTGAAGTCGGTTCAACTTTTTTTTTAAAAGGGTTTATTTTACCATTTTTAGTGTAGGATATGTTTGTAATGAGTAGATAAGTACGATATTTAAAACACTACGTACCGTAATGTATAGTAACAAACTGTAGTTTGTTAGATTATATTAAATATTATATTAAATTACTGCTGGACATAGGCCTCTCCTACATTGGCGTCCAAACTGATCAAGATCAGCTTAAATTCTTTTCTAAGAAACAGTCAAATTCTTGTGAGTTGCAACCGAACAAAATAACTTCCGATTCAATTGACACTGACCTCGAAGGTGAAGATAGGGAAGCTTTAGTGAGACTACTCAACAAATATGCTTAATATTTTATAGAAGGAGTTCCAACTAGAAGGGTTAATGTTAGAAATTAACCTAGTTGACTCACACAAAATTTAAGAGTTTTTTCCAGAACTATTTTAATAAATTAAGTATAAAATTACTTACAAACGAAATGCGATGCCATCCATAGCAACAAAACGTCTATCCGAATTATTTTAACAAGATAAAATACAAAATTTCAACCTTTTCTTCTTATTAATACAACGAAAATTACTGTGGTGACATAAATACTGTAAGTTCTCTGCGCATCACATCGCGCAGTCTCTGACGGTTGCCATGGTTTTAAAGAAATACTCGTAGCTAAAACACGTTATCGGGGCTGTCAAATTCCCAATAATTGTGAGGGTTTCCCTCGATTTCTCTAGGATCCCATCATCATATCCTGAATTGGTGGTAATGGGACCAATTCGGGAGCATACCCTTACGATTACAAAAAGAATTTTGAAAATCGGTCCACAATTGACGGAGAAATCGCGTAACAAACATACATTAAAAAAAAAAATACAGACGAATTGAGAACCTCCTCTTTTGTGTTTTAGAAGTCGGTTAAAAAGAAAACATACTGTCGAATCAAAAACCCTCCTTTTTTGATGTTGGTTAAAAATCGACTAGCATGAAGCTCCTAGTCGAGACGAATCAAATGAGCACAAACACGGCGGAATTCCTTTATTTTATTACAGAGTTCCCATGGCTATTTACCGTCTCCATCATCAGACCCTGAATATCACATAGGATCGGAGTCCTTATTAATTAGACTCAAACACATTCAAATTCGATGGTATTACATAATTTTGTTACAGAGATCCCATACTCCTAAACCATTCATCATCAGCTTCATCATCAGCTCAGCAACATCAGATGGTGACCATTAGATGCAAAAATCTACATAGATTAAGATAATTTCTGATAAACAGTGTATATGCCTACAAAATTTGAGGGTTTCCCTCGATTTCCCCAGGATTCCATCATCAGATCCTGACCTGGTGACAATGGGACCACCTCTGACGTATGACCTACCAAATAAAAAAAGAATTATTCAAATCGGTTTATAATTGCCGGAGTAATCGTGTAACAAATATACAAAAAAAAAAAAAAAAAAAAAAAATACAGTCGAATTGAGAACCTCCTCCTTTTTTTGAAGTCGGTTAAAAAGTACTCATAAATAAAGTTACAAAACTATTGAACTCAACGGGTAGTGGTTGGATGTCTAAAAATTATGTTATTTCTTTTATTGTAATAAGAAAATGAAGGCATCCAATTACTTGGAAGCATAATTTAACTTGTTTTTTATTTCTCCTTCAGCGGTTATACAATTATGAATTAATTTACAAAAAAAAATATGCTACTGCAGTTTTTAAAGAATTAGTGGCCAAGAAATGTCAAGAATGTGTGTAATAATTGCATTATTTATGCATTGTAATCTTAGAAGACCTTAATTTTTAATTATATTTAGTGAAAGAAACGTTATGGAATACCTAAGTTTGATATCTACTCAAACTATTTTTATTTCAAAATAAATTTTAAAATTAAAAAAAAGTCTCCTTTGTAGACTCTGATGTCATAGATCAACAATTACAACAGTAACAATTCGTTTTATCAAATATTTACCAAATTAAATATATACCTATTGAAAATCCGTTTTATGCTTGTGCCGATCTGCAACCGCCCGTTTAAAAGGGGTCGAGCCTTTTAAATTTTAAAATATATATTACACCATAAACCTCCTATCCAAGGAGAGGCCTGTGTCCAGCAGTGGACTATTAAAGGCTATTGATGAAAATAATTACGATATTATACCCAAGAACTGCCTCGGTGGTGCAGTGGTAGCGTATGAGACTGCTGCTGGGTGTTTTTTCGGGTGCGATTCCCGGGTGGGACTCGGAATATTTGTATGATCTCCAAATATTTATTTCTGAGTTTGGTTATTTTCTATGTATAAGATATAGGTATTTATAAAAAAAAGTATATAAGTAACCTATCAGTCAATCTAGCTTTCATAGTAGAAGCTCTGTTTAGTTTAAAACCAGAATGCGTTGTGTGTAAGATGTCCAAAATATTATTATTAATATCTTTATTTATCTTATACACACATAATATTAATTACATTTTTAAACACAAACTTAATAAAAAGAAAACACATTTAAAGATATAAAAAATATAAGACCAAATTAATTAATTATATTATTATTATTAAAAAGCTTATATTAAGAGTTTAAGAGTGAAGTTTAACTGCGAAGTCAAGTTTTACATTCTCACTACAATAATAAAGATTTGTGAAAAACTAGTCATTCCAAGCGTTACCCCGTGTTTCTGCTCTCTGCCCCGCTTCTTAGAATCGTAGATTGATGTTAAATAGCCCTTAACCTGATGAGCAGACAATCAGATAGAAAATTAAACTTTCAAATCCGTCCGGTACTTTTAATAAGATAAATTTTATAGTCGCTATAGAAAACTTCAAGTTTATAGAATAAAATAAATATCACAATAATTGTTTAAAATTTAAGTCTTACTTATTCTTTATTTTATCCCTTGCTTAATTTTTTATATAATCAAGTTGAAATATTAAAAAGTACTCATAAATAAAGTTACAAAACTATTGAACTCAACGGGTAGTGGTTGGATGTCTAAAAATTATGTTATTTCTTTTATTGTTTATAAGAAAATGACGGCATCCAATTACTTGGAAGCATAATTTAACTTGTTTTTTTATTTCTCCTTCAACGGTTATACAATTATGAATTCATTTACAAAAAAAACATATGCAACTGCAGTTTTTAAAGAATTGGTGGCCAAGAAATGTCAAGAATGTGTGTAATAATTGCATTATTTATGCATTGTAATCTTAGAAGACCTTAATTTTTAATTATATTTAGTGAAAGAAACGTTATGGAATACCTAAGTTTGATATCTACTCAAACTATTTTTATTTCAAAATAAATTTTAAATTTCAAAAAAAGTCTCCTTTGTAGACTCTGATGTCATAGATCAACAATTACAACAGTAACAATTCGTTTTATCAAATATTTACCAAATCTATACTAATATTATAAAGCTGAAGAGTTTGTTTGTTTGTTTGTTTGTTTGTTTGTTTGAACGCGATAATCTCAGGAACTACTGGTCCGATTTGAAAAATTCTTTTAGTGTTAGATAGCTCATTTATCGAGGAAGGCTATAGGCTATATATCATCACGCTAAGACCAATAGGAGCGGAGCACCAATAAAGAATGTTTCAAAAACGGAGAAAATTTATTACTATTGAGAGACGCAGACGAAGTTGCGCCGGTCAGCTAGTAATAGATATAATAAATGTACTAACCGAACACATGCGGCACAATGAAAAATAATCTGTGTCTCATCTTGTATCACTTTCCTGTCCTCAGCGGTGATCCCTAAGTTTTCCAGCAGAATATCGCCAGGAATAACGTGCAGTTTCTGGAACCGCTCCGGATGTTCGGCTTTTAAACGATCGAAGATCTGTCACATTTAAAAGTAAGTTAGTTACTTACCAATAGATGACGTAGTAATAGCTTATCAGATGTATTTTTTTTCCTCTTTTTGTCATCCTAAGGTCATAAAATAAATCGATTTGAGGACGTTCATTTTATGTGTTTTGATTAGTATCTATTTACAAATAAATAATTCGACAAAAATAGCATGCAAACTCTATTCCAGTAGACGCTAGATGGCAGCACTTACCCGAAAAGCCAGTAAATCATCCAATCTCTCTTTACTGCCGTGACCTTTCTTTGGTCTCATAAGCATATAAATCTTTTTGATGTCAGGACAATCCCTTAGAAGCTTTTCTATGAGGACTTTCCCCATGAATCCTGACGATCCAGTGATGAATATCGTCTTATTTGTGTAGTACTCTGGTATGCTAATAGGTGGCGCCATTTTCAATTTTTACCTGTGAAAGGAAATTACAATTTTTATTTGTACATGCCAGCTGTTGTTTAGAATATCTCTTTAATAAGTATTTATAATATGTTAGATAATACACCTTGTTTAGTAATCTGAGCATTTTTTAGAATGACGCAAAGAAATAAAGACGTGGTTACGTGTTTGTGTACTGTTTTACACTATTAGTATAATTTATACTAGAAGTTTTAATAAATTGTGTTGGTTGTATTTAAAGATTTTATTCTCCCTAGTTAATAAATGATTATTTGCCATAACAATATTACAATCATAAAAATACTTTTATAGTTTTATTAAAGTTTTTCAGTATTCTGTGTAAACGAAAGATTTGAGAAAAGTAATAGAAAAATGTGAAAGTTCACAGTTAATTTGTTGAAGCTTATACTAGACATGGAGTCCCACGTTTGACTGCACGGATGGGATGGCGTAGTGGTTTATGCGGTCGCCACACCGCTTACTACTACGCTGAGTGTTGTGGGTTTGATCCCCACATGGGACGACACTTTGTGTGATTCACAAATTGTTATTCTGAGTCTGGGTGTTCTTTGTGTCCGTTTCATGTATGTTTGTAAAGTTAATTGCGACACAGGATTTATTTCTAAGTGTGATTACTTCCGAATAAATAAAAATGACATAGACATAAACATATATTTATTGCATAAAAACTGTGTACAAATAAGGGTGTTTTTACATATTGGTATCAGGCTCATCAGTTACCCAGTTCAGGTGTTGCAATTTATGTGAAATCGAATTGAATACATAATTTATTGATACGGCTACACTATTTTAACATCAAAGAATTCTCTCAGACTATAGAACACATTGTTAGTTAACCACTTTTTTTTAAATATTTCTAAATATATTTCCATTTAATTTTTTTATGTCTACGGGAATGTGATTTCACGTATAGCAGTGATATATGTGCTTTTGTAGTATATGGTATTATTAATGTTAGGTATGTTAATATTGTATTTATATCTTTTGCGAATATTTGTTTTTGAATGAGATTTAAATTGGAAAAAAATGGAATTGCATTTTATGAATAGGCAGAGCTCCATGATATAGATGCCTGTAAGGAAACCCTTTTCTTTAAATAAGATTCGTAGAGATTCAGTTCTTTGCATACTATAAATAATTCGTAAACACTTTTTTTGAAGCACAAACGATGAATGAGCGTTTGTTGAATTTGCCCAGTAAATCACACCATATGACAACAAAGGATACACATAGCCATAGCTGTCAGACGATCAGTTGGGTCACCTGATGGAAACTGACGGCCTTTAAGGTAGGTGTAGACTCTTTTCTGTCTATTGTAATGGACCTCTCGAATCTTAGTACGGACATATGGGTACGGGTACGAGGTCCCAACTACTTTAAACTACGTCAGTGTCAGTGTGGCTTTCCCATCCCAAATTTGCGGTTGCCCTTACCCTAGCATAACGTTCTATTCGTTTTCTATTATTTGCACTATCTTTCCTTAGGACACTACGTTCCATAGGAGGTTAGCTTTTTCTGGTTCTTTTTCTGGTTTTTCTGAATGAATTCTTGGCTCCTAACGCCAAGAATTCATTCAGAAAAACCCTTTGCAAATACAAATGAAAATGGAACAGGTTGATGATAAATACATATATTAATCATAGACTAATAAATCATCAAAATCAACAGCTTTTCATAGTCCATTGTTGGACAAGGCCTCTACTTAGAAAGGAGGTTTTGGCCTACTATACCACTCTGGCCAGACAGGTTGGTATAGGGTTTGTTTCAAGTTTCCTTCTCTTTGCAGTGCTGTTGTCCTGCGTAGTTTGCTCCCTTAGTTAGTCGGCTCTTACGACACCCACGGGATGAATGGGGGGGTGACACTCCGTTTTCTTAATCCGTCCCCACACGAACTAATAATTAAATGCTGATAATATATCAGACCCAGACAAATTGTCGGAAGTTTATAATGATTAGAACATTTATATTCCGTGCGTAGCGTAATGGACACAACCATTTAATTGAAGGACAAAACCAAATGTTTTGTAATAGTGAGCCAAATATAAATTTAATTGTTATAATTAATTGTTTTAACAACAGTAAGAAATCCTTATAAGATGCGAAGGCCATAGTACATGTTCCTTTATAAAATAAGTTTAGTTTATATGTAGCGCGGATAGATGACGCTGTAGACACAATAACTGTTGTGATAAGCTTCGATTACGACAAGACAGTAACAGTTGATAAGTGCAAAAGATTTGGTGAGTTAACATTTTTTGGGTATAATTATATTAATAAATGCTTGTCAAAAAGTGTGATACATCTTAAGTAAGTAATCTTTATATATATATATATAGTATATCCGTGTGGTGACGGATTAAGAATACAGAGGGTCACCACCCCTATTCATCCCGTGGGTGTCGTAAGAGCCGACTAAGGGAGCAAACTACGCAGGACAACAACACTGCAGAGAGAAGGAAAATTTAACACAAACCCTATACCAACCCGTCTGGCCAGCGTGGTATAGTAGGCCAAAACCTCCTTTCTAAGGAGAGGCTTGTGTCCAGCAGTGGACAATTAAGGGCTGTTGATGAAGTAATCTTTATTGTAGATCATTGGTACATTATATAGATGATGTGGTTTTCGCTATGCCCCGCCCATCATACAATAGATAAAATTATTATATTTTTGGGAAAATGCAATGAATAATAAACTTTGTTAATTCAATATAGATCATATTTTAACAGAATTTGCAAACAAGCAATAATAATCACATCACATCACATCAACAGCCTATACTAGTCTACTGCTGGACAAAGGCCTCTCCTTAGAAAGGAGGTTTTGGCCTACTATACCACGCAGGCCAGACGGGTTGGTATAGGGTTTGTTTCAAGTTTTCCTTCTCTCTGCAGTGCTGTTGTCCTGCTTAGTTTGCTCCCTTAGTCGGTTCTTACGACACCCACGGGATGAATTGGGGTGGTGATAATTTGTATTCTTAATCCGTCACCACACGGACGGCAATAATAATGTAGACATACAATAATTCAATTCAATTCTTTAGACATAAAACACAATCGCCTTGCATTCAAGAGAAAAGTGCGCGATCTTCTTCGGGGTGAATTGGCGAAATAGTTACAGCTCTAGTTCCCGACTGAGTATTTATATATTTTATTAAATTTATGTAGGTTTATGTATGCATGTGTGTTTTTATATTGTGTATGTTTCTGGACCTAAATTATGTTAATATCATATTTTATTTTGCACCTACCGCATCATATTTCTACATCACCTGAAGGTTGACTGGGAGAGAATGCCTAATGGCATTAAGTCCGCCTTTGTACAATATGTGCATTAAGTTTAAAATAAATAAATAAATAAATAATTTAATAAGAGTAGGGTTATTAAATAGATAATGAGAGTAGTTTAGTGTTATTAAATTTAATAATTTAATAACACTGAACAAATCATGATCGTGACAGACAGACGTAGCAAATAATCCTTACTGTTTATAAAATGAAGTCCCCCGGCCGCGTCAATCTGTCTGTCTGTATGAAAGCCATAAACTCAAAAAGTACAGATCACATTTTTGAACGGTTTTCACCAATAGATAGTATGATTCCTGAAGAAGGTTTAGGTGTATAATTCATGATCTTTTTATGTAAATTGACTGAAATATAACGATTATTGTTGAAGAGGTCGCAAAAATCTTGCCTACTGGAAACTAACCCGCTTACGCCGCGTAAATCACGGGTATGTTGGTCTAGTGGTTAGCGACCCTGACTGCTAAGCCGGAGGTCGTGGGTTCGATCCCCACTCAGGACAAATATTGTGTGATGAGCACGATCATTTGCTCTATGTCTGGGTGAAATTTATCTATAAAATGTTTGTATTTAAAAATATATAGGTACGTTTATCAGTAGTCTGGTTACCATAGTACAGGATCTGCCTAGTTTGGGATCAGACGGCCGTGTGAGAGATTTTATTATTATTCAAAGGAAATTTATTAAAATCTTAAATTATCGCTTCCACAATTCAGATCTATCATACACTGAGTCACTTAATCAGAACAATCTTCTTTCACTTTCAAATCGTCGTAAGCAGTTTGATCTAATTTGTCTATGTAAAATTTTGAATAATAAAATAGCTTCGTCGTCTCTTCTTTCCAAAATTAACTTTATAACCAAAGCTCGGCTACCTGTCCGTCCATCCCGGACTCTAAATATCTTCGCTCCCCCTAAATTACATAAAAATTACACTCGCAATAACTTCTTCACACGCTCATTTAATGTATATAACAAAGATTTCAATAGTATTGATCTTTTTAATAACTCTTTGAACAATGTTAAAAAAAATTCTAAATGTAAATTGTTAACATTTACTTAGTAATGTCGTAATGTATGTATTTCTTTTAAACCTTTTATTTTCTTTTTTGTGTCATTTCCACAGGTTATTTGAGTCTAACGCTCTGTGAAATGTACTACATTTATTTAAATCCATTCTTGGGTACTCCTTGTCTTTTGTTCAGTGTATTTTTATATTGCTTTATGTTTAATGACTGTTTTGTACCAAAATAAATGAAAAAAATATATATATATATTGACTCATAATAACTACTTTTATGTTCAAAATATTAATTGAAAAAATTACGTTATTTTCGAAACTGTTTTCTTCTGTTCATTATTAGGTAATCCTTATCTAAATAAACACGCTCGCTAGTCCATCCGTGTCCTTTACACTATATGAATCAAATAAATACTTCATAAGATATGATAGATTCAAAATATTATGAATCCAAAAAAATAATTAACACGGTTACCGAAATCCACGCTGGCGAAGCTGCAGTTTCTATGAGTATAATTTGATAATTAATGCAGCTATCTATTAGTAAAAGAATTGCCAGAATAGGTTGAGTAGTTTCAAAGATTACCCCATACATACAAACTTACAAACCTTTTTGTAATATTAGTTAACATTAATATCACTATAAGTTACGACAGCAC